AACCCTCTCCTCCAACATTTTCATTTACCAATTCTTATAGAAGAAATTATTCCAATAAATGTAACAATTAATATAAAAAATTACAAGATAACAAGCATACAATAATTATGGTTTAATTATGAAGCAAACAATGACAAATAGCAAATTATTATGGAAATCAGGGAGCAAATAGGCAGTTTAATATTTATTATGCTAAATATCAAATAACAATTAAGGCACATAATTCAAATAGCATGTAACAATTAATGCAGGAATTCAAGAATTTATATTTGCAAAGAATATGAGAGAAACAATTATTATAATAATTAATTTATGATTAAAAATAATTTATGATTTTTCAAGTAAGCAGGCAAACAATTAATTTGACGACGTATAGACACTCGTCACCTCGCCTATACGTCGTTTACATGCAATACACATAACAAACAATTTAAGGGTTCTATTCCCTCAAGTCAAGGTTAACCCCGACACTTACCTCGCTTTGCAAATTTCAATCAATTATTCAACCACAGCTTTTCCTTTTAAATTTGCCTCCGAAAGCTTCAAATCTATTCACAAACAATTCAACATATCCAATACTAATCACAGGAATTAATTCCATATGAATTTATAAATTTTTCGGATAAAAATCCAAAATTCATTAAAATATTCGGCAGTGGGACCCACGTATCAAATCCCAGAAAAACTCACGAAATCTGAACACCCATTCCGATACAAGTGCAACCATACCAAATTTGTCCAATTCCGATATCAAATGGACCTTCAAATCTTAATTTTTCATTTTTGGAAAGTTTTACAAAAATTACAATTTCTTCCATCTAAATCCAAAATAAATGATGAATATAGACATGGATTTGTGAAATATAATCACTATATGATAAACAACACTTACCCAGTTCGAAATCATGAAAAACTCCTTTGAAATCGCCCCTAAGCCGAGTTATAATTGAGGATTTGTGAAAAATGGAAAAAATCCCGTTTTTGGTTCTATTTTAAGTCACAGGGGTCAGGCATTCTTCGCGTTCGCGAAGGGCCTGTCGCGTTCGTGATGAGTAGCAGCCTGTGGCTTTCGCGTTCGCGAGTCCTCCTTCGCGTTCGCGAAGGTTTCCCCCCCTGGCCTTCGCGTTCGCGAGGCATAGCTCGCGTTCGCACTGAAGGAATGATCGACCCTCCCCCAGGTGTGCCTAACTCTACGCGTTCGCGAGGAGATGGTCGCGTTCACGAAGGGTAATGACCCCATCGCTTCGCGTTCGCGACCAAGCCTTCGCATTCGTGAAGAAGAAAAATCCAACTGTCCAGTTTACTCTTCGCGTTCGTGAGAGTACCTTCGCGAACGCGAAGAAGAACATGCCAGAACACCTGCTGCAGCAAAATTCCAGATTTTCAAAGTCCAAAATATTCAGTAGCCTATCCGAAACTCACCCGAGCCCTCGGGGCTCCAAACCAATCATGCACACAGGTTTTAAAACATCATACGAACTTGCTCGCACGATCGAATCGCCAAAATAATACCTAGAACTACTAATCAGACACCAAATCAAAGGAAGTTTTCAAGAAAACTTTAAAACTTATATTTTTACAACCGGACGTGCGAATCACGTCAAATCAACTCTGATTCTCACCAAATTCGGCAGATAAGTCATAAATATTATAGTGGGCCTATATCATGCTCTGGAACCAAAATATGGACCCGAGGTCAATAAATCCAACATCAGTAATTTCTTAGAAATCATTAAACTTTCAAGATTTTTATTTTTCATCAAAATTTCATATCTCGAGCTAGGGACCTCGGAATTCGATTCCGGGCATACGCCCCAGTCCCAAATTACGATACGGACCTACCAGAATTTTCAAAATACTGATCCGGATCCGTTTGCTCAAAATATTGACCAAAGTCAACTTAGTTGAGTTTTAAAGCTCTATTGCCCATTTTAATCCATTTTTTCACATAAAAACTTTCCGAAAAAATGTACGGACTACGCACGCAAGTCGAGGAATGATAAATGGTGCTTTTCGAGGTCTTAGAACATAGAATTACTTATTAAATTTAAAGATAATATTTTGGGTCATCACAGTTTCGGTCAATAAAATTCATTCGAATTAATTCCATAAAAAATGCTAATTTTCCATAAAAATCCAAAATTTTACCTCAAACATTGTCCGTGGGGCCCACGTCTCAGAACTCGATGAAAGTTATAAAATTCGAATACCCATTCCGATATGAGTTCAACCATACCAATTTTATCAAATTCCGATAACAACTCGACCTCCAAATCTTAAATTTTTATTTTTGGAAGATTTTGCAAATATCATGATTTCTTCCATTTAAATCCGAAATAAATGATGATTATAACCATATAATCATGAAGTATAATCACCTTTGGATATAGAACACTTACCCCAATCCATATGGTGAAAATCGCCTCAAATATCGCTTCAATCCGAGCTCTATAGCTCCAAATATGTTAAAAATAGTTGAACCTTCGAAATATAGCTACTGCCCAGGTATTTACTCTTCGCGATCGCGGAAAATGCTACGCTATCGCGAAGCACAAACATTTTCAGCCCAAAAATTGCTCTTCGCGATCGCGGAAAACCAATCGTGATCGCGAAGAACAAACTCCCCAACATCTTCCAGACAGCCTCCAGTATAATGGTCATAACATTTTGTACATAACTCTAAATTGTAAATGGTTTAACTTTCTAAAAACTAGATACCAAGGGCTATAACTATCATTTGTTGCTCATCTCCTAATTCTTTATAGAGTTCGAGATATAAGCTTTCAAAATCAGCTCTATGCAACAGAGATTTTCAAAATCTTTTCGGACAGTTTGTAGTGTATCTATCACAACTTTTTGTACACAACTTCAAATGACAATTGGTTTACATTTATGAAAACTAGACATCAAGAGCTACAACTTTTATATTTGGATCATCTCCAACCATCGCGATGCATACCTCTGTGGCCAAAAATCAGCAACTAAGAATGGCCAAAAAATGGTCCGAAATTACCCCGAAACTCACCCGAGCCCCTCGGGACCTCAACCAAATATACCAACAAGTCCTAAAACATCATACGAACTTAGTCGAAGTCTCGAATCACATCAAGCAACGCTAAAACCATGAATCATGCCCCAATTTAAGCCTAATGAACTTTGAACTTTCAAATTCTATATCTTGTGCCGAAATACATCAAATCAATCCGGAATGACTTCAAATTTTGCACACAAGTCATAAATGACATAACGAAGCTATTTAAATTTCCAAAATCAGATTCCGACCTCGATATCAAAAAGTCAACCCCCCGGTCAAACTTTCCAAAATTTAACTTTCGGTATTTCAAGCCTAATTCCACTACGGACCTCCAAATAATTTTTCGGACACACTCCTAAGTCCAAAATTACCATACAGAGCTATTGGAATTATCAGAATTAAAATTCGAGGTCGTTTACGCATAAGTCAATATTCGGTCAACTATTTTAACTTAAGCTTACAAGCTAACTCTGAAATACCTTAAAACCAAAACCAACAATTCACATAAGTCATAATACCTTGTAGAAAATTATTCAAGACTTCAGATAGTTGAAAGGAGCGTAAATGCTCAAAACGACCGATCGGATCGTTACAATTCTCTTTTTTAATACTTGTTTGTCTTCATTATTATATTAGATTTATCCAAGCTTACACGCATAAATACCAAGTGTATTGTACTTGAGCTCCATTGATCCCTGTAAAATCTTTAAAATTGGATTGAATAAATTCAAAACAGATCAAACTGAACCGAATTAATCCAAAACGGATCGAATCGACTGAATGTATACCCTAATTCAACTTTCTTCACTAGTGGTCGGTTTGTATTAAAATAGTGACACCTGCAACCATCAAATTCTGGACCCGCCTCTGTTATCCACATTGATTAACTAAGATGACAACCAAGAACTATTATAACCTGAGGCGGATCCAAAATTTTAACGCGACGGGGGCACAATATTCTGTTCATTCAGTGCCCCCTAAAGGCTTTTAGTGTTCAGGGTGCCAAGTGATTTAAATTAATCATTTTCAAGATATATACATAGACATATACAATATTTCTACCAAAGTTTACGGGTCCGATGACCCCTCAACATAATACACAGGTCCACGTCTAATTATAACTACTACTACATCAGACAGGAGTCATTAAAGAGTACTATTGAACACACATGGCTAATAAATGGCTGTGTCTTCAGTCTAGCTTAACGGGATGTTTAAGAGATTCACCGAATCTCACTTTTCCTTTTTCTATTTTAGACTAAGAATTCACTAGTAAATGATATTTATATCATAACAAATGAATACATGACACGTGTCTTTATATATAAGGGTATTATCTAAATCACAGTTAACTAATACATATTTTCAATTTAATTGACAACTTAATCATACTCCTTTGTTGACTTTATTTTGTTTTGGTTGTTTTTACACATATTAAGAAATTCATCTTTTAATATTAATTAATAATGAAACATGGCAATATCAATCTTACTTTGTTCATTGAAAATATAACAGATACTTCGAGACTTTACACTCCAATGGAAACTTTGGAAAAAAGAAGTTAATTCTTTATTGATATATGAAAACATCAAATATTGTAGACAATAAAAAAGGGTAAAAAAATTAATTAATGTAGACCGGCTAGAATAATAAATTTAGTATGATTTGATGTAAATATTGAATACGAGTAAATTCTTATACATTAATGTTGTATAGACTTTCATGATATCTCAAAAAATTAAATATTACGACAATAACAAGTCGGTGAAAAAAAATTCAATAATATGGACCATAAAAAAAGGCTAAAACATCAATTAAAGTGAACCGAAGGGAATATTAATTTCAAAATTAACATCTTTTTCCAGTTTTTGTATTAAAAAAATGGGGAATATCTCTTTTTGGTTGTCAATATATTTGGGTTGAATTTTTTAAAATACACGAAAATCAGAAACGTCCATATTGAAAGAGTCGAAAAGCACACGCATAAATTACTCTTGCGGAGTTCCAAGAACTCTTTCTTCCTCCTTGGTCAGCTACCAGTAGTTAGAACTCGCTTTCAATAGTTTCAATAATGCTAGCTGCGAAAGAGTCCTTTTCTCTGTTTGGTGCCTTTGTTCAAAGATCATCTTGTAGATTCAGATATTCATTTTGAGATTTTCTTGTTCTCAAGGCCGGCTTTGATTCATTTTGCTTTAGAAAACGAATCTGTTGGCAAATAAGGTAAAATCACAGACTCTCTTGTGTTTTTCGTATTCTTTACATTTTTTCTGATTTTAGAACATGAGCCAGGGAGATGATGGAGATTCTGTGAAGTAAAATTATAGCAGTACCGAAGATCAAAATAGTAGTGGTGGTATTTTTTTCTTATCTATATAAACGTGTGCTTAACATGCATATTTCAATAATGCTAGCTGAGAAAGAGTCTTTTTTCTGTTTGGTGCCTTTGTTCAAAGATCATCTTATAGATTCAGATATCAATTTTGGGATCTCCTTGTTCCTAAGGCTTTGATTCATATTGCTTCAGAGAACGAATCTGTTGGCAAATAAGGTAAAATCACGAATTCCCTTGTGTTTTTCGTATTCTTTATATTTTTTCTAGTTTTAGAACATGAGACAGAGAGATGATGTGGATTATGTGAAATGAAATCATAGCAGTACCGAAAACCAAAATAGTAGTGGTGGTGTTTTTTTTTCTTATCAAAATAAACGTGTGCTTACCACGTCTATTTCAATCATGCTAGCTGAGAAAGAGTCTTTTTCTCTGTTTGGTGCCTTTGTTCAAAGATCATCTTGTAGATTCAGATATCCATTTTGGGATATCCTTGTTCCCAAGGCTTTGATTCATTTTGCTTCAGAGAACGAATCTGTTGGCAAATAAGGTAAAATCACGGATTTCCTTGTGTTTTTCGTATTCTTTACATTTTTTCTGGTTTTAAAACTTGACACAGAGATGATGGGGATTCTATGAAATGAAATCATAGAAGTACCAAAGATCAAAATAGCAGTGGCAGTTTTTTTTCTTATCTTTATAAACGTGTGCTTACCATACATATTTCAATAATGCTAGCTGAGAGAGAGTCTTTTTCTCTGTTTGGTGCTTTTGTTCAAAGATCATCTTGTAGATTCTGATATCAATTTTGGGATCTCATTGCTCCCAAGGCCTGTTTGATTCATTTTGCTTCAGAGAACGAATCTGTTGGCAAATAAGATAAAATCACGGATTCCCTTGGTCTTTTCGTATTCTTTATATTTTAACTGGTTTTAGAACATGAGACAGAGAGATGATGGGGATTCTGTGAAATGAAATCATAGCAGTACCGAATATCAAAATAGTAGTGGTGATATTTTTTTATTATCTATATAAATGTATGCTTACCATGCATATTTCAATAATGCTAGCTGAGAAAGAGTCTTTTTTCTGTTTGGTGCTTTTGTTCAAAGATTATCTTGTAGATTCAGATATCCATTTTGGGATCTCCTTGTTTCCAAGGCTTTGATTCAATTTGCTTCAGAGAACGAATCTATTGGCAAATAAGGTAAAATCACGGATTCCCTTGTGTTTTTAGTATTCTTTACATTTTTTTTGGTTTTAGAACTTGAGACAAAGAGATGATGTGGATTCTGTGAAATAAAATCATAGCAGTACCAAAGATCAAAATAGTAGTGGTGGTATTTTTTTCTTTTCTATATAAACGTGTGCTTACCACGCATATTTCAATAATGCTAGTTGAGAAAGAGTCTTTTTCTCTGTTTGGTGCATTTGTTCAAAGATCATCTTATAGATTTAGATATCCATTTTGGGATCTCCTTATTCCCAAGGCTTTGATTCATTTTACTTCAGAGAATGAATCTGTTGGCAAATAAGGTAAAATTATGGATTTCCTTGTATTTTTCGTATTCTTTACATTTTTTCGGTATTTAGAACTTGAGATAGAGAGATGATGGGGAATCTGTGAAATAAAATTATAGCAGTACCGAAGATCAAAATAGTAGTGGTGGTTTTTTTCTTATCTTTATAAACGTGTGCTTACCATGCATATTTCAATAATGCTAGTTGAGAAAGAGTCTTTTTCTCTATTTGGTGCCTTTGTTCAAAGATCATCTTGTAGATTCAGATATCCATTTTGGGATCTCCTTTTTCCTAAGGCTTTGATTCACTTTGCTTGAGAGAACGAATCTGTTGGCAAATAAGGTAAAATTACGGATTCCCTTGTGTTTTTCGTATTCTTTACATTTTTCTGGTTTTAGAACTTGAGACAAAGAGATGATGTGGATTCTGTGAAATAAAATCATAGCAGTACCAAAGATCAAAATAGTAGTGGTGGTATTTTTTTCTTATCTATATAAATGTGTGCTTACCATGCATATTTCAATAATGCTAGCTGAGAAAGAATCTTTTTTCTGTTTGGTGCTTTTGTTCAAAGATCATCTTATAGATTCAGATATCCATTTTGGGATCTCCTTGTTTTCAAGGCTTTGATTCATTTTGCTTCAGAGAACGAATCTGTTGGCAAATAAGGTAAAATCACGGATTCCCTTGTATTTTTCGTATTCTTTACATTTTTTCTAGTTTTAGAACATGAGACAGAGAGATGATATGGATTATGTGAAATGAAATCAGATCAGTACCGAAGATCAAAATAGTAGTGGTGGTATTTTTTTTTCTTATCAAAATATACGTGCGCTTACCACGCCTATTTCAATCATGCTAGCTGAGAAAGAGTCTTTTTCTCTGTTTGGTACCTTTGTTCAAAGATCATCTTGTAGATTCAGATATCCATTTTGGGATATCCTTGTTCCTAAGGCTTTGATTCATTTTGCTTCAGAAAACGAATCTGTTAGCAAATAAGGTAAAATCACGGATTTCCTTGTGTTTTTCGTATTCTTTATATTTTTCTGGTTTTAGAACTTGAGACACAGAGATGATGGGGATTCTGTGAAATGAAATCATAGAAGTACCAAAGATCAAAATAGCAGTGGTGGTTTTTTTTCTTATCTTTATAAACGTGTGCTTACCATACATATTTTAATAATGCTAGCTGAGAGAGAGTCTTTTTCTCTGTTTGGTGCTTTTGTTCAAAGATCATCTTGTAGATTCAGATATCTATTTTGAGATCTCATATCTCCCAAGGCCGGTTTGATTCATTTTGCTTCAGAGAACGAATCTATTGGCAAATAAGGTAAAATCACGGATTCCCTTGTATTTTTAGTATTCTTTACATTTTTTTTGGTTTTAGAACTCGAGACAAAGAGATGATGTGGATTCTATGAAATAAAATCATAGCAGTACCAAAGATCAAAATAGTAGTGGTGGTATTTTTTTCTTATCTATATAAATGTGTGCTTACCATGCATATTTCAATAATGCTAGCTGAGAAAGAGTCGTTTTTCTGTTTGGTGCTTTTGTTCAAAGATCATCTTGTTGATTCAGATATCCATTTTGGGATCTCCTTGTTTCCAAGGCTTTGATTCAATTTACTTCAGAGAACGAATCTATTGGCAAATAAGGTAAAATCACGGATTCCCTTGTGTTTTTAATATTCTTTACATTTTTTTTTGGTTTTAGAACTTGAGACAAAGAGATGATGTGGATTCTGTGAAATAAAATCATAGCAGTACCAAAGATCAAAATAGTAGTGGTGGTATTTTTTTCTTATCTATATAAATGTGTGCTTACCATGCATATTTCAATAATGCTAGCTGAGAAAGAGTCTTTTTTCTGTTTGGTGCTTTTGTTCAAAGATCATCTTATAGATTCAGATATCCATTTTGGGATCTCCTTGTTTTCAAGGCTTTGATTCAATTTGCTTCAGAGAACGAATCTATTGGCAAATAAGGTAAAATCATGGATTCCCTTGTGTTTTTAGTATTCTTTACATTTTTTCTAGTTTAAAATCATGGATTCCCTTGTGTTTTTAGTATTCTTTACATTTTTTCTAGTTTAAAATCATGGATTCCCTTGTGTTTTTAGTATTCTTTACATTTTTTCTAGTTTTAGAACTTGAGACAAAGAGACGATGTGGATTCTGTGAAATAAAATCGTAGCAGTACCAAAGATCAAAATAGTAGTGGTGGTATTTTTTCTTTTCTATATAAACGTGTGCTTACCACGCATATTTCAATAATGCTAGTTGAGAAAGAGTCTTTTTTTCTGTTTGGTGCATTTGTTCAAAGATCATCTTATAGATTTAGATATCCATTTTGGGATCTCCTTGTTCCCAAGGCTTTGATTCATTTTACTTCAGAGAACGAATATGTTGGCAAATAAGGTAAAATCACGAATTTTCTTGTATTTTTCGTATTCTTTACATTTTTTCGGTATTTAGAACTTGAGATAGAGAGATGATGGGGAATCTGTGAAATAAAATTATAGCAGTACCGAAGATCAAAATAGTAGTGGTGGTTTTTTTCTTATCTTTATAAACGTGTGCTTACCATGCATATTTCAATAATGCTAGTTGAGAAAGAGTCTTTTTCTCTATTTGGTGCCTTTGTTCAAAGATCATCTTGTAGATTCAGATATCTATTTTGGGATCTCCTTGTTCGTAAGGCTTTGATTCATTTTGCATGAGAGAACGAATCTATTGGCAAATAAGGTAAAATCACGGATTCCCTTGTATTTTTTGTATTCTTTACATTTTTCTGGTTTTAGAACTTAAGATAGAGAGATAATGTGGATTTTGTCAAATAAAATCATAGCAGTACCGAAGATCAAAATAATAGTGGTGGTGTTTTTTTCTTTTCTATATAAACGTGTGCTTACCACGCATATTTCAATTATGCTAGTTGAGAAAGAGTCTTTTTCTCTGTTTGGTGCCTTTGTTCAAAGATTATCTTGTAGATTCAGATATCCATTTTGGGATCTCATTATTCCCAAGGCTTTGATTCATTTTACTTCAGAGAACGAATCTGTTGGCAAATAAGGTAAAATCACGGATTTCCTTCTATTTTTTCTATTCTTTACATTTTTTCTGGTTTTAGAACTTGAGAGAGAGAGATGATGGGAAATTTGTAAAATGAAATCATAGCAGTACCGATGATCAAAATAGTAGTGGTAGTTTTTTTTTCTTATCTTTATAAACGTGTCCTTACCATGCATATTTCTATAATGCTAGCTGAGAAAGAGTCTTTTTCTCTGTTTGGTGCCTTCGTTCAAAGATCATCTTGTAGATTCAGATATCCATTTTGTGATCTCTTTGTTCTCAAGACTTTGATTCACTTTGCTTGAGAGAACGAATCTGTTGGTAAATAAGGTAAAATCACGAATTCCCTTGTATTTTTCGTGTTCTTTACAATTTTTCTGGTTTTAAACTTAAGACAGAGAGATGATGTGGATTCTATGAAACGAAATCATAGATGTACTGTCACGACCCGAAATCTCACACGTCGTGATGACGCCTATCTCAATACTAGGCAAGCCGACAATACCAATAACCCACAATTTATTTTAAATACTGAAAATATAATAATTAAGTTTAAGGGTAAATCACACAGCATTGGAAATAAACACACTCCCAAAACCCGGTGTCACTGAGTACATGAGCATCTATACATTTCAAGTCTGGAAAAATCCGGTCTATAATAATCTAAGACCAAATACAATAAACAAAGGATAAGGAAGGAGAGACAAAATCTGCGAAACATAGCAGCTATCTCTGAATCTCCGAAAAATTAACTGTGTGAAAGAATCAACACCCCCTATATCCGGGATCACCTGGATCTGCATACGAAGTGCAGGGTGTAGTATGAGTACAACCAACTCAATAAGTAACAATAATAAATATGGAACTGAAAGTAGTGACGAGTTTCTCAGCTAAGTCCAAATACAGTATTTTCCAACATGAAAGGGTAGGCATGCTCTCAAGTTCAACATTTAAAATTTCACAGAAATTTCATATCAAATTTGACTGAAACAAAAAAATAATATTTTTTTGAAATTTCCAAAATAGTGATATATGACAGCTGCAATGCGGAAAATAATGAAATCAATGCATACTTTTAGAATAACAGCCACTCAATCCTCCCATTCACTCCAACCTTACAGTCACTCTTTTCTCACAGTCACTCATCACTCGACACTCGCACTTAGTAGGTACCTGTGCTCACTGGGGTGTGTACAGACTCCGGAGGGGCTCCTTCAGCCCAAGCTCTATATCAATCCAATCATGGCATAAATCAATGAAATATGCTACGACGTGCAACTCGATCCCATAAATATCCTCACAATTAGGCCATCGACCTTAATCCGGGGTTTCATACCCTCAGAACCAAATTTAGAACTGTTACTTACCTCAAACAGTGTAATTCTCTACTCTACTATGCCTTTGCCTTGTGAATTGGCCTCCAAACGCCTCGAATCTAGCCACAAATAATTCGATTTAGTCAATAAAATTTATTGAAATTAATTCCATAAGAAAATACTAATTTTTCAGCAAAATCTGGAATTTAGCTCAAAAATTGCTTGTGGGGCCCACGTCTCGGAACCCGACATAAGTTACAAAATCCGAAAACACATTGAACCACGAGTCTAACCATACCAATTTTACCAAAATCTGACCTCAACTCGACCCTCAAATCTTCAAATTAAACCAAGAGGGTCTTCTTAATTTTTCAACTTAATGCACCCATTAAATGATAGATTCAAAGGCACAATCATGGAAATTAACCAAAACTGGATAAGAATCACTTACCCTAAATACCCACGTAAGAATTTCTCCAAAAATCGCCTTCTACCGAGTTCCCAATTCGATTTTTTGTTATGAACTCAAAACCCTTGTTTTGGAACTTTTAATTCTGCCCAGAAATGCCTTCATCGTATTCGCGACCATAGCTTCGCGTTCGCGAAGCACAAAAAATGTGTTGCCAAGGTTCCTTCTTCGCGTTCGCGATGCCTTCCTACCTCTGCCCTTCGCGTTCGCGAGACAAGAGCTGCGTTTGCGAAGGCTTAACGCCAGGCAGGCCCCCAGCTCCATTTCCTCTTCGCGTTCGCGTTCGCGTTCGCGTCCGCCCACTCGCGTTCGCGTAGGCTTCCCCAGTATCTTCTTCGCGTTTGCGTCTACTTCATCGCGTTCGCGATGGGTAAATCTCAGAAGTCCAAAATCCTTCTTCGCGAATGCGTGAGACCCTTCGCGTTCACGAAGAACAATACCAGACACCAGTCCAGCAGTTGCAAAACAAGGAAAAATGATCTGAAACAATCCCGGAACTCACCCGGGGCCTCCGAGACCCCAACCAAATACACTAATAAGTCCTAAAACATCATACGAACTTAGTCGAGCCTTTAAATCACATCAAACAATGCTAAAACCACGAATCATACCCAAATTCAAGCCTAATGAACTTTGAAATTTAAATTTCCACAAACGACGCCAATACCTATCAAATCAAGTCCGATTGACCTCAAATTTTGCACACAAGTCATAAATGACTGGACCTATTAAAATTTTCAGAATCGGATTCCGACCCCGATATCAAAAATTCAACCCCTCGGTCAAACTTTTTAAAAATTCGACTTTCGCCATTTCAAGCCTAATTTCACTACGGACCTCCAAATAATTTTTCGGACACGCTTCTAAGTGAAAAATCACCACACAGAGCTATTGGAATCATCAGAATTTGAATCTGAGGTCGTTTACACATAAGTCAATATCCGATCAAGTTTTCCAACTGAAGTTTTTAATTATGAGACTGAGTGTCTCAATTCACTCCGAAATCCTTCCAGACCCGAACCAACTAACCCGGTGAGTCATAAAAAATTATAAAGCATAACTTAAGCATTAAATGGGGGAACGGGGCTGTAATACTCAAAACGACCGGTCGGGTCGTTACATTCTCCCCCACTTAAACATACGTTCGTCCTCGAACGTGCTAAGAGTTGTTCCTAACCTTCAAATCTCTATTCCACCTTACCACGCACATACCCGGGGGTGATCCCACGCCACTCTATTCCATATGGGCCTGACAATACCACGTAATTGAAGATCATTACTTCAACCTTAGCCCAAAAATCTTGGAATTCAATTTTCAATATTCAGAATTTTCTTTTCGAGACCCGAATCTCACATGTACACACTGTATGAGTCTGAACAAGCTGCATCAAGCCATAACCCCAGATATAATCACGTAATATACTACACAACTCGCATGCTCGCAACACTTTTCGATAATAGTAACTACTCCAAACTAACCCGGTAATAGTATTAAACCCCATATCAAGCCAAACCTCATTCCAAAACCTTCGTACACTATTGATAATGAAAGAAACACATGGAATATCATAACCCCTTATCAAATCAACAAGTCATGGAGCTTTCTTGCCACAACCAGAATCATAATCACCTTCTAAGACGATTTTCAATAGTATCCTCCCAATATACCGTAATAAAATCTGATAGTACCCATTCTAGGTCCAATGACCATATATTATTAAACACAACTATCCCAGTGACATGCCACACCAATACAACTCAAGCCACAAGTGCGTAACCTTGTACCCAAAATGGAAGATGTCTCAAAGTAGAGAACTGTATTGCAAGTTCAACAAGCACCACCACAACTGCAATGCTATAAGCTCATTATATATAGTAGAACCAAGACATGTGAATTTAATAACAGTAACTGTAACGACCCGGCCGATCGTTTTGAGAGTAATAGCCTTGATGTCCTATTAACAGTAACTGTAACAATCTGCTTATGTGACTTCCCGGGAGGTTTTGTTGTTGGTTTTGGAGTATTTTGGGGCACTTAGTCCATAAACGGAAGCTTAAGCCTTAGATTTTTTTACCATAGAAGGAACTATGTGAAGACGACTCCAGAATGGAGTTCTGTTGGTTCTGTTAGCTCCGTTGGGTAATTTTGGACTTAGGGGGATGTTCAGTTTGTGTTTTGGAGGTCTGTAGCTGATTTAGGCTTGAATTGGCGAAAGTCAAATTTTTGGAGATTTTGATCGTTAGTGAACTTTTTGATATCGGGGTCAGATTCTGATTCTGGAGGTTGGAGTAGATCTGTAATGTCAATTATGATTTATGTGCAAAATTTGAGGTCAATCAAACGCGATTTGATAGGTTTCGGCATCGGTTGTAGAAGTTTGAAGTTTCAAAGTTCATTAAGTTTAAATCGGAGGGTGATTCATATTTTTAACATTGTTTAATGTTATTTGAGGGCTCTACTAAGTTTGTATGGTACTTTAGGACTTGTGGGTATATTTGGTTGAGGTACCGGGGGCCTCAGGTATATTTCGGATGCTTAATGGATCAAAAATTGGACTTGTGTATTTGCTGAAGTTTCTGATTTCTGGTGTTTTCGCACTTGCGGTGGGGAGACCGCAGGTGCAGACTCATACATATGGATGAAGGAGTGCAGATGCGGGATTTAGAAGCCCAAGCTAGACTTGTAGGTGCGGAGGTAATTGCATAGAAGCGGGCTTGCTTCTGCGGTTCTTCTATGCACAGGAGCGGTGAGGGTCACAGGTGCGGTTCCTTGGTCATAGGAGCGCATCCACAGGTGCGGCGCTTCTCTCGCAGATGCGGACCTAGGGGACTTAAGTTAAGTCCGCACCTGCGATGGAATTCCGAAGGTGCGGCATCGCAAGTGCAATTATAGGCCCATAGATGCGAAATCGTTGGGCAGAAAAGGCCAAGTTCGAGGGTTTTATCCCATTTTCAATTTTGGGACTTTGAGAGCTCGAATTTGGGCGATAATTTGGGAGATTTTCAGAAGAAGCTTTTGGGTAACGATTCTTAACCCATTTATGGTTATATTCCACTAATCTATCACTACTTTCATCTTTTAATTTCGGATTTGGGTGGAAATTTTGGGGAAAATGGGAAGAAGTTCTTCAACTAAGGTTTTGGGTTTTGATTGAGATTTTGATATTGGATTTGGATAATTTTGGTACGAGTGAACTCGTGAGTGAATGGGTGTTTATATTTTGTGACTTTTACCCAATTCCGAAACGTGGGCCCGGGGAGGCTTTTTGGGGCGATTTTTTAATTTCTTGCTTTAGCTTTGATTTCATTAATTAAATTAGTCTAATATAGTTGTATTTATGGTATGAAATTATTTTTGGCTATATTGGTCCATTCAGAGTCGGATAATCGAGGGAAAGGCATTCTTACTGATTGATTGAGTTTGGTTC